CTCCTTCTCCGGAGACATTCAAAACCTGCCTAGACGTCTTCCTGTGTGGCCTACTCTAGGTGATCCTGCTTTGGCAGGGGTGTTGGACTAGATGATCTTTCAAGTCCCTTCCAACCTCTAATATTCTGTGAGTCTGTGATTCTGTGAGTCACTCTTCCTCACAACAACTTGTGCTTGTTTAGCCAGATAAGTGTGTCTGAAAATATCAGATTCAGGTGTTCTCCCCCAAAAGTACAGCAGTGATACAGGAACCCCAAAATTTTAACAGATTACGATGATACTTCTGCATTTCTTTCTTAAAACATATTAACCTATTCAGTTCAGTGGCCATGATTTGACTCATTTTTGCAATTTCTAGAACTTGCTTCCAAAATTTAAAAAACCAGTTCCCTAAGGGACAGTGTAACAAATGGCTGAACATGGAAACTCCAAAGTGGTGCTCTGGTCAACATGCAAGTAAGCAAAACCCCACTGTAGCACGTCTTCTTTGCAGGACTGAATACTGACCTGCTTCCTTTCTGAGCAGATGGCCTTAAATGAACTCATGAAACAAATCTGACATTTTTGAAATTGTTGTCAAACTCGAAGCGGTTGAGCACCACTTTTGACACAGCAGAATTAAGAATGCTGACAGCAAATCAAAGCCGTGTTGACAAACATCATACCAGTATTACCTGCATTATGAGGACGCACATCCCAATCGAACCAAGGATATGCTTATTCTCATCGAACCAGGTCATAACTCTCTCGTAACATCCCTAAAATGATGAAAGATGAAAATTGAAATCCCAAGGTCACATTTTCTTTCATGTGCATTCCTTCTATTTTCTTCCTTCCCACCCCTCCCTAAGCCTTGACCCGGGCAAAGCGAGCCATACCGTTTTCCACACTAACTCGGTGGAGTTCCGTCCACAGTCCTGGGAGTTTTCAGTACAACATCGGTCTGGGACAGTGTTTTCTCCCAGCACTGGGTACCAATCCGTAAAGTCATTCACACCACAGCATTTCATCTATAGCAAAAATAAAGGATTAATAAATTAACTTAACTAGCACAATTTGTGCACCACCACAATCTTTTACTTCCACTAAACCACTGTATATTTTCAAAAGGGCTGCCACAACACTTCTGTATTTTTAAAGTGCTTTGTGCTCAGTGATCACTAAAAGCAAATACTTAACAGCATTAAAAAAAAAAAAACAAAGAAAATAAACAGTCCCATGCCCAAGGTATGTTAGTCGTCTTGTCACAGAGACATAAGCCCAACAGCAAAAGCCTCTGTTTCAGATCATCTCTGTGTCTGTGATAGGAGATGTGGTAATAACTGATAATAAGGAGATGTGATAGGCACAGAGAATCTCAGAGAGAGGTAAGCATCTTTCACCTTACAGAGTACACTTTGACCCTGGGTGTCACAGCACTCCCTGGATGTTCAAGAGTGCAAAATCAGAAACCAAAGCCTGCATTAGTCATCTTTTAGACTTGGCATGGATGCCACAGTTAAAGACTGCAGCAGCCTTTATGGCCAAATTGTTATTTTTTTTCTATTCAGAAAATATGTTACCTCTGCTTGAATGATATTCCATGCATTTTTCAGTCCAACATTATTTTCTGAATTGTATAGCTTCATACCTTCCTTCAAATCCTTCTTTGCACTTTCACTGACCTGCATCATGTAAAAAAATACAGAAAGTCAATACATTGCTGTTTAGAGGAAAGGACAAAATGGTACAGACTTGCATATAGAACGTATCTCTCTTACCTTCTCTCACCACAAACATAACACGGGTAGAAAAGCTCCATCATAACTTTGAGACTCACGGAATCACAGAATCACAGAATGTTAGGGGTTGGAAAGGACCTCGAAAGATCATCTAGTCCAACTCCCCTGCCAGAGCAGGACCACCTAGAGCAGCTCAGACAGGAACGCGTGGGACCTTTCACACTTGCCAAGGCCTAGTCTCTCCCTCAGATTGCAAAATACTGGATTCATTCCCATGAGATAGGAGATCAAACACCTTCCCCTCTGAGAGTCCATCATACAGTCATCATCTGATCCAGACTAACTGAAGTGATCAGCAGAAATCTACTGAGCTTACTTTAACTTTGCCAGAGACAGCTGTTGGCAATATCCACAGCAGCCGGTAACCTATGGCCTACTTTAATCTGCTAATATCATAAAACCAGAGTCCCAGCCTCCCAGCCTTCACATAGTTATCCCTTGCACAGGTTCAGGCAGGCTATAATAAATGGCCAATACAAAATCAATTGAAAAAGGGCATTATTATTGTCCTCTTGTGGGGACTTGTAGGATTTATGATTTTCAAATGTGCTCTTCTTTCATTAGAGGAGAAAGTTGAAATGCTTAACAGGAGATCAGAGATGTCCCATTTCTTCCATAAATTTCAATCTAAGCCTGGAGTCCTGGATGCAGGTAGGAATGTACCTTGGCTCTGACACCAGTGATCTGGCAGCAGAGAAAGGATTAACCTGGCAAAAAGGCCAACTATAAGATCTATTTCATCCCTCTTTGACATCCCATTCAAAACCAGAAGTTCACCCCAGCTCCCTGAAAGCAGCAGGCATCATAATGACAATCTGGGAAGAGATACAAATCTGGTAGGAGCTCAGTTTTAAAATCAGTCTGGACATGCTCATAACTGTAAGGCTCTGTCCTGTGTTTAGCAGTTCTCCAGTTCCCCAAGGATTTTTCCAGTCTTACCTGTCCAACAGCTCAGCCAGTTGTGCCTGCTTCACTTAGTGTCTACTAGACAGCTTTAAGAGAAGCTGCCTCTTGATCCAGTCTGCACCCTTGTCAAACTCTCTGGGACTGCCCAGTCAAGTGAGACAGCTGGTGGCATCTGGAATAACCTGTGAATATCCCAGGCCTTTCTCTTCCAGTCCTGTTTAAGGGTTGGCCCTAAGAAGCTAACCAGGTCTTAAGTAGGAGCTCCCATAATGCAGGTCCACAAGATGATCAGCTTCTTGCAGTGACATCAAACAAGTATGTTGAAGGCTATTTTGGCTTTTGGGTGAAGACTAAAAGGGAGGCTCTGGACCATGGTTTTATTTCAGGGAGGAAATTGCAAGCTCAGCGTGTTCTTCTCTCCTGTTTGCCCTCCTCCTCACTTTCTCCTCCCCCTGCAGAAGTACCTTACAGAAAACAGCCAAGATCTCAAGGTTATACCTTCACCAAAGGGAAGAGCAAGGAGAATCCACATACCTCCATCACACAAAAGCAAACCGAACCTGGTTTACATCCTAGTACAGATAATTAATCTACATGGCATATTTGCTTACCTTGTCCGTATAAACAAAGAACAAAATGAGTAATATCAGCTCTGCCAGGAGAATTATCAGCAAAACGATGAAAAACTAGAACAAAGGAAAAACAAACAGTGTATATACACACTTGCCAACTAGAGAGCAAACCTGGGCCTGGTAGAAACTCTGAGGACTATAGGCCTTGTTCTCTAAACCTTCCCTTTACTCCCCAAAACATGCAAGTTTGATTTCGAACTATTCAGACAATATTGATACTATGTTGCCACTAAAACTCCTGTAGGTCTCACCATCAATGAGGAAGCTCACTGTCTAGAATTCTCTAAATCTTAGGTTTTGCCCTAGTACCAGTTTGCTGTTTTCAGCAATGCTTTTGTCTTGCTTTTTTTTGACTGCTGTCACAGCACACAGCCTTGGTAGTGTCTTTCTTTTATACAGGCTACAGAACAGATGCTAAACCCATTACCACAAAGATCAATGTGATGTGACACCCATTACCACCCATTACCACAGAAACCCATTACCACAAAGATCAATGTGATGTGCCTCAGGAGTGACTCCCTGGCAGGTGGGCTTTAACCACATTTGACTGCCTGTTGGAATAGTAATTATATTACTCAGCACTTCTATTCCCAGCTCTCTGTGGCTGAATCTCTCTGCAGGGGCATCCCAAGTGTGAGCTTCAGTAATTTCTCACTACTTTTCATGCCACTAGTTGCCTTTATATACTAGTGGACTGCCACATAGGCATGGCATCCCCCACACAGACACTGGGGGAGATGTATGCAGTGCAGTAAGCTCTCCAACTGGAAACTAATAATATAAATACTCTTAAAAACCCCCAAAAATTCAGCTGGTGTTGTAGTTTGTGTGGATGAATGACATAAACCTCATTACTATTCTCTGTTTGCCTTCCTAGCTTACAGCATACAAAACAAAACAACAGATAGAAAAAACAGGTGCACATTTGTCCTCCATTTTAATTCTCTGAGGTGGTCTACAGAATGCTGCCCAGCTGTTCCCCAACACCATGTAAGGGAGACTTTTACACAAGGAAAACTCACGTGCTCCTTAATGTCACAGCACCTGTGATTCCTAAGTTGTGACTGAATTGGAAGATGTCTGCTTTGAAAGACCTCCTCTCACCTTCTGCCACAATACCTTTCTCCTTGGAGTGGGGAGAAGCATGATGAAGCCTCCTGGGCTTATGCAAGAGGAGTGATCCACACTGTGTTTTCTGAGAAGTGTTCCCAACCTCTGTGCTTTAGTGCTAGACAAAGACTGCCAAGGATCAGATCTATTTTTTTTTTACCCACTCTGGTAAGGCCTGGAGAGACCTTGACTTCTTAACTTTGGGTCAGATGATTTCCACCAACCTCTGACAAAGGCCTTAGAAAAAGGCAAAGTAGAAAATAGCCATGAGAGGCTTTGAACGGCATCCAAAAGCAACTGTGCTTAAGATTTTTCAGTCAATTCTTCTAATAGACATTTCCAGAAGGGCTATTCAGGTTGACCCTACAGTTCATGTTTAGCCATTCAGAGGTAACTGATAGTAAATTGCTTTGCTATCTAATACATTAGGGCAGACAGTAACAAGGATACATTTGCTAATACACCGATGATATCACTGTGACCAAAGCTGTGGGATGTCCTACTGCAAGCATACAGAAAATTGAAAGCCAAAGGCAATGTTACAGTGATCCACAAGACTTTTTTGCACTGGTCATTTAAATAAAATAATAACAAAGCAACAGTCACTAGTCTTAGTGAAAAGAAGTATTGATGTCTTACGCTCAACAGGAGGCACTTATTTTCCTTGATAGCACCTAGGCAGCCCAGAAAGCCGGTCACCATGATGACTGTGCCAATGGCAATCACTAGGTTGGCAGCTGAAAGCGATGGAAAGCTAGGAGAAAATGTGGCGAAGTTTCCTTGCGACACCGACAGCCAGATGCCCACACCCAGCAGCCCACAGCCACATAACTGCAAAGAAATAAACAAAAGAAACGTTTCAGTAATAAAATAAATGGCACTGGCTCCTGCCCCCCCACACTCTGAAAGGAAAGAATTTCTCAAGCAAATTCTCAGGTAGCTGTTCTGCAGTGTTGCTCTCACTGGTTTCTTGCTGAAACAAAGTGAAACTAAATGTTCTTACCTAGACTTGGTCATGTCACCTATACTTATAAATCTATTCAAAAGCCACTGGATGTCAGAATTTTCTTTTTAAAGACTTAGCGCATGAAACCAGGGCTACCCATTGATGGCCCAACAGCACAACCCAATGCAATTTTTCTATAGGAAGATAAAAAACATTATTTGAAAGAATGCTCCATTGCACTTATCTCTTCAGTCATCTACAATGTCTCAGAGTATCCAGCCCTGTGTTTCCTCATTCTAGGGCAGGCAAGAAAGTCCTGGAGATAATTACAATCAATAGTTAACCATTGCAATAAAAATTTGTCATAAAATGCCCAGTCCCAGTAGCCAGGTTGGGTTTTAGTATGAATTCTCATAGCTTTACTGTTGTATGCCAGTGTTCAATGTCACTAAAATCAGGTTTCTAGGTTTATTATCTACAGGAAGCTCAACTTCTGCTACTCTCTGTCAGTGAGAGAAACTGAAGGAAATGCAAAGCTGCTAATAAAACATAAAATTAACTTCAATTTGCTTCTCACTTTTAACAATACCATGTCTGGTTAAGGAAATAAGGTTTCTCACCCTAAGTCACAGGGCAGGTCTTCAGAACAATGGCCAAGTGTTGCACTACAGAGGGGCCTAAAAGCTGGACATATTTTAGTACTTGCTTAAAATGGCTGTTATACAACTTCCCATCTGATCTGTGATCACTGTGCAGTGAAATCAGAAGCAGAAGTTAGTCTCACTTTCATTAACTGTGAGCTACTAAACAGTACTAATACAGTTTCCTGACAAATCTAGCCTTTGCCAAGGTCAGAGGTGAAATTCACCTTCACTGGGAGGGGGATCAGAGTATAACACACACACACAAACCCTGCCCAAACTCACAAGTATTTTGCTCCAATTTACTTGGACCACTGCACAGAAAAACCAAAACATCACCTAATCACTAATCACCAATCTTTACTCACAGTGATATCCCTGTCAGCAGTGATGAACAAGAGGAACAAAAGTTCTTGCCATCTAGCAGGTTCACTGCACCCAGCTCACCCCATTGTGTTTGCATAAACTTGCAACATTTACTCAAACTGGAAACTCAAGGTCAGAGAACAGTACCTCCACTAAAATAGGGTTCAATCCTGCCTTGTGATGAGCACTAATCTGGTATGATGAAGAACTACAGAGCTAACTTTTTTGGCAAATATCTCCACTTCTGTCTGAGGTGATTTTACTAGCAGGGCAGATAGTTTAGGGTACAACCAGCTCCTTTTGGTTTTGCTGCTTCACAGAACATGAAAGAAAAACTAGAATAGTATCTTCTTGCATTCATGCCACCTTATCCATGAGTTAGGCTTATGTTTTCATAATCATATGCATGGTCATTTTCTTTTACTTCCCCTATGACCCTTCTGTCCCCTCTGAGCCCCCTTTCTAGTTTGCATGAAGCTTTTGAAACTGGTTTGCATCTAGGGAGATTCACCAGCTTGGTGAAGAACTGTGACCAGGAGTAGGCTATGCAAGATGCTCACAGGCATTCCCATGGGAGTAAAGCATCTCCCAATGTACCAAGTCCACAAGAGTTAACATAAATCAAAGCATAAAATATAGGGTTGTGTAGGCAGAGAAAGAGAATAAGAGATGGAGATTAACTATACTGCATTGGTGGTCATTTCCAGGCCCTCTTGCACCTAAACATTAGCTTAGCAATCTGGGGAAAAAAAAAAAAAAACACAACCGTCTAAAGCTCACAAGCACATGCAAGAAATTTTCAGCATTCTTGTAAGAAGTCTGGGAAGCACCACAGCTTCCAAAACTCAACACACAATAACACCACAGAGTAAGTTGGGGAGCTTTGCATGACTGGGTGTGGATAAATGTCACAACATCTGTTTCCTGTAAGACTGCTGGATGCAGGTGCCACATGAGTTTGCATAGCAGGAAACAGTCAAACAGCTACTATCCCTATGAAAAGACTGGCACAAAACATACATGCATGTGGCAGGAAACGGCTACAGGACTTTCGTCTCTTTCCCCAAATCCATCCTCTCCAATTAATAGCCTTGAAGTGATTTCTTATGGCCTTTCATGGTACATCAGCAAGGTCAATGTGAACTTGGAGTAGTAGAGAACTGTGGGAGGATGCAAAACAGAAGTCTCCTGATCACATCCTGCTGCAGTACTCAGTGGACATCACCACACATTTAAACTGTCTGCAGTTCTGGAATCAATCACCCTATTGCTCCTGCTTTAAATTTCATCTACTCTGTCCTTGAATTGCTGCAGTTTTGGTGCCTCAAGACATCACAGGAATCCACTCTGTGGCTCAGCTGCTTCAACCATTAGAGAGAACTGCAGGCAGTTGCTTAGGCTGAGAGCTTGATGGTTCAGGAGGTTAGAAGCAGCTCTCACCACACAACATGCATTTAAGGTTTTAAATGGCATTTCTAAGCTGACGGGGCTGTACATTGCCAATAGCTGATGGCACTTCAATCAATGACTTCATGACACTCCATGGAGGAGACTAAAAGTTTTCAAAGAAGTTTCTACCAAAGACTGAAATTGTTCAGTGTAACTTTCATTCAGAACGCAAATTCAGACTTTGAAGGATATTCACAAATGTGTTTCTTGGACTTTCATACTCTATGACGCTCAGAAATTACAGCCCTAGCACAAATGTTTTGAAACAAGGCAGTGAATTCTGGAATCATCAGGCCAAAAGCAATAGATCATTGCAGACAAACAAGGTGGTGGTAAGAGCAAGATCAGGGCAAAAGCCTTACAGAGGATGGGCAAGTAATGGACAAAAAGGAGCACATGCGATCAATAGAAAGATCAGCCCATGAAAAGCTGCACTTCAGTATCCAACTCCAATTATGAGCAGAGTGGCAAAAGAGGTAGAAGAAAGAAAGCCTTACCAGCATTTCTTTACCATTTATAAAAAACCACCCAGTACAATCCTTGACAGAGATTGGGTCTAGAAGAGAAAGGCGCCTAGGAAATTACTCCAGAAGCCTCATGTTTATGTTTATTTAGACAAAGTTAGAAGCAGCTAATTGCTTAGATGAGGGAAGGAAGAGCTACCTTCAAGTGCAGGAAATCAGGAAAGTGATACATGCTCCATGGGATGGACATGAAGACAGAAAAGGACCAAGAGCAGAAGGAGAATCAAAGCTGGAGAGCAGAAAAATGGACAGGGTCTCAGTTCAGGAGACCCTCTATATAGATATAGGAGAGATCATTTCTTCACTTGCTTCTGGTAGCGACTCTATTTTGGTAAACTCAGGAGCAAAACACTTCACTTTGCAGAAGACCAGTCATCTACTGCACCTTCACCTTTCCACAATGCCTCTAGCAAGTAAGAAACATTTGACACTTGATATGAAACATTTGCAACAAAGGTCTTTTGGATTAGCAACATACCTATGCTGTCCCTAGGCAGACCACTATGGAGATACAACTTGAAGGCCAAATGTCTGAACCTGTTGTGAGAGGAGTCCTTTATAATGCAAAATTAAGTGTTATGTCAGCTGAGACAGCAGACATGACCACATTTGCTCTTTCTTCCTACAATTCTAATGTCCCATTGAAGACAACCATGAAATAACTCCTTTCCAACTGCTGTAGTGATTGGGTTAACATGCCAAAGTGCACAATGTGATTACAGTTCCCTTCAGAGCTTTCTGACAATGCACATTAGTGGACCACTACAATTATACCACAGTATCTGCACTGATTCCCAGGCCCATTGGGCAAGTTAAGGGAAGTTCTCCTTTTCACACGCTTTTTACCTCTCAAAGTAAGATTTCTCCATCCTTAAATTAAACTGAAAGGTCAGTTTACATAAAAAACCCCAAACAAACAGGTGGAGGAGGGGCTATTAAAGACCAAGGCTGATCTATGTAAACAGGATTATCTACAATGACTGAAGAGAGTAAATAGTCAGCAAGACTTATTTGCTAAAAGACATGACATCCTAAAAACTTCCACAAGGTGGCAGCCCATACCAAATAGCGCTAACAGTTTAGGTCAAATTTTTTCTCCCCACCAGAGCTCCTGAATTGTTGTGCTTTCTTGTCTGTTTTTATCTCTGTTATTCTACTAAGTAGCAGTACCACTGATGCTAAAATTTACGCTTTAAACCTTAGGTCCCAGAGCAAATGCTTCTTCACTCATGCTTCTTAAAATAATCCCAAATAATTCCACTGTCTTGGGACTTAATTGCATACAACCATAACAACCAAAGATAGCTAGAATTCTAGCAATAAAATAGCTTTCTCTGACACTTCATTCCTACCAATTTCATTTTCTATACAATGAGAACACTGTAAAAATGCTCTCATAGATATTTATTCTCACAGGATCCACCTCTTTCTGTTTGGTACAACTGAATTCTGGAGAGTGAAAGCAGCAAAAAATATATCAAGTCATTTTACTAAGTCCTTTTCCACCATATAACTACATAATATATGTTGCTTGGTATTTAATTGAGAGTGATGGCACTGACATTCCGTCCCCAGGGAAATGGTTCAACAGCATAATAAATTTCACTGGATTTTTCTTCTTAAAAAATGTTGGCTTATTTCCCTCTCATGATTAGAAATTATCATCTTCCAGGTAACCATAATATCTCTCTTTCCTGGGCATTTATGTCATGAAGGTAAATGCAGAACACTATCATAAAGTCAGTCATGTACACGGATACAAACATTCTTACTTATAGGTAATTTAGTGAAGCTATAGTACACATATTTTGAGCTTGAAAGCAAATAAAGGCAACACCAACTTTCCTCACAGTTTCTCCCTCGCTCTGCTATTTCACTATCAAACCCTGAATTCTCTTCAGTACCTAAACAGCTATCTATCATC